AGCGTAGAGCATTGAATTTACCGAACTTGCAATTATGTCCGGATCAGCTCAAGGAATTGTGTCTTATTGAGATAGAGAAATTACTACTGAAGCATTGGAAATCCCTATCTGATTTTCCAGGTTAGTCTATTATATTTATGGTAAATTTCTATACTACCATTTCATCACTGCATATGTCATCGTGAATTCTTCTGCCTCATCTTTTTCTCTTCCTCTTTGGTTTCCTAGCATTGCAATTCTGTTGGTGATTTCCATAAAAAAAGAAAGCTAATAAAATCTAAATCATAAATTTGCATATCTGGCACAAGCTCTTAACGCAGCTAAAGTCATACTGTTGTGGAACTGGCCACATTACATTTGTCGATGGGTGAGCATGTATCTAAAAACTGGTAGCTTTAAGGTCTCTTCCCATGCTACAACATTCACAAATTATGGAATGATGTGGAACCTTGCTGGCTTCTGTTCATGATTGGTGATAACTTCATCATTTGGTTGCTTTGCGACCTGTTTTATATGTGTATTGGTTGAAATTGATGTACATCATTTGTACAGGATGAATTCTGTCAATTATTACTTGATAGATCCATCATCAAGTAGACTTTAAGCCTTTCAATTAGAGTAACATTCATTGTATTTGGGCTTCAATTTCAGGGTTACCAGTTCCAGTTTCAGTTTCAGGCCACAGTTACAGTAACCGTATGTTGGCGATGGAGCTCAATTATGATGCATCACAACAAAAGGCAGAATTTGATGCTATGTATCCGAGGTTGAATGCCGATCAACGTGCAGCATTTGTGGAAATATTGCAATCGGTCGATTCAGAACAAGGAAAATGTTTCTTCGTTGATGGATTTGGAGGGACCGGGAAGACTTTGCTATGGCAGGTTCTTTGCTTGAAATTGCGATCTCAGAAACGGATAGTGTTGTGCGTTGCATCTTCCGGAATTGCAGCCTTGCTAATGACCGAAGGGAGAACAGCTCATTCCCGTTTTTATATACCTATTGACTGTGAGTCTACCTCTACGTGTCACATTGATCAAGGTAGTGAATTAGCTGAACTTCTTCTGCAGACTTCTTTGATTATTTGGGATGAAGCTTGCATGTCCCATAAACATAATATTGAGGCTGTGGATAGGACTCTTCGGGATATATTGCACATCAAGCATCGCCACAGTAAAGTTAGAACCTTTGGAGGTTTAACTGTTGTATTTGGTGGAGACTTTCGCCAAACATTGCCCGTTGTTCCGAAAGGAACACGAAATCAGATTCTAAATGCTTCCATTAAGAAATCTTACATCTGGGAGCACATAACGGTGTTGAAATTGACGCAAAACATGAGATTGCGTTGCTCTATGGGAGCGTCTGCATCGGAATCTGAGGAGATTTCTGCCTTTAGCTCTTGGATTCTACAGATCGGAGATGGCATCGGTTCGAATGTGTTTGGTGAATCAACACTTAAAATTCCAACAGATCTGTGCATTCAGCCTAGAGATACTCCTATTTCTGATGTTGTCAACTCAACATATCCTGACCTATCAACATGTTATGCTGATTACAAGTACTTGGTTGAACGAGCCATATTGGCCCCGCATCATGAAGCAGTATCAGCAATCAATTCTCATGTTCTGCTGCAGTTTCCTGGTGAGTCTAGATGTTACCTGAGCAGCGACTCCATTGAAGTTGATCCCGGACAGCCAAATATTATGGAGAGTGATTATTCGACAGAGTTTTTGAACTCTTTAAGGGTAGGCAATTTTCCTGATCATGATCTGAAGCTGAAGATCGGATGTCCGGTTATTCTCCTCAGGAATTTGGATCAAAGTATTGGTTTCGTTAATGGAACTAGGTTGGTTATCACCAAATTGGGCACATGGTTTATTGAGGTTGAAATTTTGACTGGCACCAACATTGGTGAGCGTGTATTCTTACCTAGGCTGAAGTTATCGGAACGGTTCAAGAGCCTCCACTTTACTTTGGTGCGTCGTCAGTATCCTATTTCTCTATCATTTGCCATGACAATCAACAAAAGCCAAGGTCAAACTCTAAACCATGTAGGCCTGTACTTGCATAAGCAGGTATTTTGTCATGGACAGTTGTATGTAGCATTGTCACGTGTTACGCGAAAGACAGGAATTCAAATCTACAGTTGCAACACTGATGGAGAGCATGTATTGACTATGCAAAATGTTGTCTACAGAGAGATTTTAGAATGATAGAAAGTAATTACTTTTGGGAACAATTTTTGTACCCCTGCTGTACTGTTTAAGTTCTCATATTATGGAGATTGTGACGCTAAGATTATATTTCATTTCCTCCATTCTTTGGTTTATTATACAGGCGATTCATAATATATCCACAACGAACATTGTAGTTTTTGTCTCCTCGCGTCGTCGATAATGTGAAAAATATAACTCTTGGATATGTAGTACATTATCTGTAGTCCATTCTGATGCAAATGAATGAAGTAGGTGATGGGAATAATGTGTGATTTCATGTATCTGGAGAATATGTATACAAAGAAGCTAGCAAGACTATCTCCTGTTCACGCCTGAATTTACAACTACATGCTAACTATCTATGCACTCCGTGCACGACTTTGAGTTTCTATGTGGATATAAACATGACCGAAGTTTTTTTGTTACACAATGCATGTTTACCTGCTAATTCCTACTTGCCTCTTTGCCTACCATATCTACTGCAACTTCAGGACAAATTCAGGGGTTCCTAATATCATGCGTCTCTAGCAGTGCCCTTCTTGGCATCCTCAAAAGCTGCCTACTCTGCTTCAATCTAAGCCATGATAGCATCGATTTCAGCCTCTTCAATTTGTTGTATGCCCTGCTCTTTTGTCATTACTGCGAGTTCAATATTCTTTCCACCACTCTCCACAACCTACACAAAGAAATGAAAACTTCAGAATCTCAGAGGATCATTCACAACACATGTACCGGCTGATTATTTTACAAAAAGATGATGAATCAACTTCAGTTGGTTTTGACCCGTATTCGTTCAGCAAGAAGCCTGAGACAATTTAGTTTACGATTGATGTCAAAAGCCACACATGACCAGCATCCTATGGGGATAAGAAATGTTGTTAACCAAGGCTTTTCTGGCTATCTTCAAACATAAATCATGTTGAACCGTCTCATACACTAAAAAAAATTGATCTTATTCGTTATACAAACTATAAAACAAACTGTTTCATATGCCATCCAGACATTGATATTTGTTGGCTCAACAAACCATAATAAAACTCAATCGTTTTGCCTAAAATTATCTTAACATCTAAATCTGTTCAAATACGACATAATATGAGTACGTACCTCCCGTAAGGCACGGATTGCCAGCTTGATGGTTTTTTCACCAGAAGTTTCTTTATGATTCTTCTCCAGAAACTCTCTGATGGAATTGGAGTTACTCCCAGTTGCATTTCCTTCAAGATAACTCAATTCATAACTGATTTCAGATAAGAGGGCAGAAGAAATTTGATTAAAGAGATAAATAAGGGATTTATCAGGTTATGTTTTTGGTATAGTGGAGTTGCCATCTGGCAGCCAACTGGTACTTCCTGGTACTTCCCATTTCTGTAGCTTCTTTCTCTGCATGCAAAATTATTTTGTATGCGAAAAATAGGCATGAAATATATATCTACAAGTTTCTCTAACATTCCTGGGGAAATAATATCCAAGTACCCATTAAATTCAGAAATTAATCATTAGAAACATACTCTTCCACAACAGAGGCAGGATTGTAACAAGATACATACATTGCTACAAGCTCCCATCAAAGAGCTATAAGGCAAAACTCCAAGTTTTGATCCTTGCTTTCTTGCCTCCTGCAGGATTTCAAATGCTACATCGACTTTTCCAGCATGCCCAACGACATCAATCAATGCACTTAGAAACATCTGGAATGAAAAAAGTAGAGAACCATAAGAAAGAAACCCTATCGATGCAAACAAATGAATCCAATTTCACTGGAAATCACGTATAAAATTCAGCTTGCATGTGGAAAATCTACATAGCTTTTGCATCTATCAAACGGGTAGCTTTAAACTAGATCCAGAAAGGCATCATTGAATTATCACCCTTATCTATACTAAACCATTATTACTAACATCGCCCTGATTCTTCAGGCTCAACCGATCACCAATATTGTCAACTTATGTAGTACCTCATCAGGGAGGACGCCTTTTCTTAACATGTCTTCACACACGCGATGAGCAAAGTCCCAATCGCCAATCTCACTGCAGCAGTTAATGGCGATTGTATAAACTTCTGGAGTGCCCTTGATTTTATACTTATCAAGCATGTTGTAAATTTCCTTTGCCCTGTCAACCTGACCACCATTTGCACATGCCTTTATCAATGCACCAACAGTAACATGATCAGGATCAATCGGCTGTATCTCAGCCTTCATTTATGATAATACATCAAAGGCACAGTCCACGGCTCCTGATTGACCACATGCAGTGATAAGTGCATTGAAGACAACTCGATCTGGCTTCAAATTCTACTGCATAAAACATCTTATCAGTGTGAAGATACATTTGAGATAGTAACAAGCAGATCCACAACCACGGCCTCAGTCAAGGAAGGTACAGGAAAAAAAGAAAACCACATAAACATATCAGCCCATTCTTTCTATGATTATGGATTAATCAATGTGCATTTTATTGGGCCTATGTGGGTTAATAAGTCCAGTCCCACATGCACAAAAAGTTTTCTGCGTGTACAAAATTTTTGAATTACTTGAGATATTTAATTAGTTATATTCAGATATTTAATTTATATATTATGCATAAAAAAACTTTTCCTATTCTGAAGCTTCATTGTGGTACACGATCTTGCTGGGTTTAATCCCATTACCTCCACTCTTCATGTCAGTTCCAAACGTATCCTACATCTTCCATGAACACTATTTAAAGCCATGCACAATGAAGAGGAAATCTCACGCCATTTTGAGAAAACTCCTCTACTTCTTTTGGTTTCAAAGCATCCATGGATTTTCTGATTTTATCCCAGCTGAATCTGCATCAAGATGACGCCGCTGTTCGCGTGAGGATCCTGCGATTGTGGAAAACAATGAACCCAGATGGCATTGGGATTCACCAACTCCACATGTTATTTCTAGACAACGAGGTATTATTATGTTCATTAATTTGCAGTGATGAACTTTATTGTTTTAGAGTCGACATGACACTATAAAACGATAAACTAAAATTCATTTTATTTTGTAGGGGACGGAGATGCAGGGATTAGTTGGTACAGTTCATGTTCCAGTGTTTCTGCCCATTCTTCGGGAGGGAAGGATCTACGTACTGCGCAAGTTTGTGGTTCGTGGGTATCATGGTTACTATAGGGTTTCACCTCCTACTCTCAGAATCTGCTTCCAAGAGGATACAATGGTTCAAGAAGCCGCAAATGCTCCTGACATACCAATCTACAGCTTCCGTTTTTTGGCAGCTGCGGATCTTCCTCAAGTCGTCCACAACCATGCTTATCTGTCTGGTAATTTGATTGAGCCCTAGAATCTTAATTTATAGTTGTTTACCTATTCAATCCCTTTACATTTGTATTTGGGCATACATAGTTGGACAGGTTGTAGCTGCTGGACCGGAAGAAGCTCTATTCCAAGATGTTGATCTTTTAAGGAGAAAGGCTGTTCACCTCCGATTCATTGAGTGAGTGGTCAAAAGCTTTGTGTTTGATGATGATTTACAGGTCTTATGGATTTTAGTTGTGTGTTATTCATTAATCTGTTTTTCCCCCTCAAATTAGTGGTGCTATTGTGGAAATCGTCTTATGGGATGATTTAATAGACGAATTCCAAGCTGTTATTCCTCATCAGCCTCCTCCGGGAACCGCAGTTGTGTTCACCTCGGTGGTAGTTCATACTTTCAATGGTAGTAAGCAATTCTTTTTCTTTGAACTTTCCCTAATATTTTTAAAGTTAGTCTTATTGACACCATGTGTGTATGAGTTGATGCCAGGTCAAGAGTTTTGCGTTGGAACAAATGCAACAAAGTTATACTGGAACTTGCATTATCCTCACCTCCACCCTCTGTTGGATAAGTAAGTTTACATTATTCTAGAAAAACACTTAGCGAATGAGTAAATTGGAACTTCCACTATTTAGGGTTCTATCTGTTTCCTGTTCTATTGTATAACAGTATAGAAAATGTCCCATTGGCCATTGACTATACCTTGGAAGAAGCCCTAGGGATGAGTACCATCTGCTCCATTCCAGAACTGAACATCTATAAGACTGACATCAATAACCAGGTAATTATCTATTTGTTCAGTTCGTGTGACCAAAAAGAGTGGACGCTTGATCACTCTGAAGTTATTGAAAAGTGTCTTTGGTGTCAAATGCAGGGTACTTCATATATTGTTGATGCCCAAGTGAAGGATGTCAATGTCTCCTGGTCTGCCGTGAAGCTGAAGTTTGAGGTGCGGATGAAAGTTGGTAATGGAGGTGATGAAGCTGTTGTTCTGTTTGTGACAAGCAAGCTTCGTTGGATTGCAAGTCGTATTATCGAGGCAACAGACAAAGAATGGACCAACAATTTCAGGATTCTCTTAGCTTGGCTGAGGGGAAAATCATTTAAGCTTATGATCCAACTGTTGGATTTTAACTTTGGCACAGCCGAATGTGATTTGGTCCTTCGCAAGCTTTTCTGGTAGATTATGTTATCTGAAATGCTTAGTGGTTGATGTTTCTGTGAGTTTCTTCAAATTAGTGGGTTTTATGATAGGTGGACATTGGTAGTAGCAAGTCATTCTCATTTTTCTTTAACTAGGACCAGCAAGTGTTTTGTGAATAGCTGGTCATTTTATTTTCTGTTGGTTTCCTGATTTCTATGGTTAAATCATGTCTATGTACGTTTGGTTCCTTCATGTTAATCATTTGAATTTGACTAAGTAAGCATTTTATCTATTTATATTCAAGAACATATTATTTTCTTAGTTCACCAAACCACAATACGTAATGAAACCAAGAGAATCTGATACTTACACAGCATGTTGATCCATTGGAGGTGGGTCACTGAAGCCGCTGGGAGATAACGAGGACAGAGCTTTTACAAACACGTAGGAGAGAACCCAATCCATAATTCACTTTTGTTTTCTCACTGAAAATCACAATTCAAAGAATTACCAATAGATGAAAACAAAATCTCATAAAGCGAAAGCCATCTGGGAAAGCAGTGAATATGTTCCTTACCCCCCAAACTTCAATTTACCAAGACGCAAGACAGTAGAATGCTGGCAAATGAAAAGGACACAGCTGCTTTTATCGACAGTATTCATCTACCGACAATATTCATCTTCCCAAGCTCGCGTACAGAGCAAAGCCTTCAGGATTTTGAAGTTTGAGCCTTCTAATGAGTATTTAGAGAAACCCTTCATTTAATAAATAATCAAATTAGCCTCTCACACCTCCCAATGATAACATTCGAAGCAAAGAGACAAGTCATTTCTCTAATAACGCATCCTTAATGCTCAAAGAAAATCAGGAAATGCAAGGCCTAAGAAATGTGATTTCAAAAACTTAATGTTGCACACACTTAACGTCTTCGACACTCTATGACAGTGGCACCAAATATATGATGCTCTTTATCAGCTGCTTGATCGGTGCACGACAATCTTTTAAGATTTCCAAAACAAGGGGCGTGCTTAGACAGTCGGTATATTGGAAAGAGGGAAGGATTGCTGTGAAACAGAATCCATGAGTCATTTCTACAGACTAGGCAGTAATAATACGTTCAAATTTGGTAAAGATCTTTCAGTATCAGGACAAGAAGAAGGAAAAATTTAATACAATCGATCAAACTTTTGCTTTTTGTATTGTAGTATGAAAAAGACCCAGTTTGGAAATTGTGGTCTTTGGTACACCATGTTAGAGATAAAAATGAGTTAAAATGGTAGCTGGACAAATTAGGGATGTGGAATTCCATTCATTGACAACCGACAGTGACTTACGATATGCACATCATATTCTTGACTATAATCTAAAGCTAGAGGGACTCATTACCATTAGCTTCTTGCACGTTCTTTAGAGCAACAACAACGGCTTTGATGACAATGTCATTCACAGAAACTTTGATATCATGGTTCTCTGCGGTCAAGGAGTGCATCATTTCCAATGAATAAAGAGACCAAGAAAAGTAAGGATTACAATCAGGAAAGAGATACGTACCTTTTAGTTCCTTTCTGAAAGAGAGAAGAGGATTTAGAATGACATCAGAACTGTAAAATTAGCCCAAAACCATACAAAAGCAACTGATACAAGTCATATCATGGAGAAGACATAACCTGTGGACAAGTATAAATGTGGAGTAGTCTGCTTTGATTCCAACGGCCTCTTTGCTATGATCTGAAAAGCAACCACAAAATATTACAACACAAGAAACATTTCCTCCAACAATAGACAAGTATGATATGACCAATTTGGCTGCATGAAACTATTTGGAAGTACACAAGCAAGTATGCAATTGATCTATTCTCCATTTCCAAGCATACGACATTGTCAAAAGAATGAGACCCATGTACGCGATTCCAAGAATTTATCAAAATAAAGAGGTCGTATTTCCTATGTCAATATATGTTACTCCATAACTCACTTAGGACAGCCTATTACATGTATATCTGTGATAAATTCATATCAGAAGTAGCTGCAAACAACTGCCGAGAATATAGAGAACCATATGTAGAAATGTCAAAAATCATTAATGTCAAATGAATTTAATCATATATAAATCATATTTGAAGACAATTTAGGTACAATTCATATTGATATTTAAATAAAATGTGATATTTTCAGTACAATTCATATTGATATTTAAATAAAATGTGATATTTTCATTAAAATTGCATATACTTATATTTAAATTCACTAAAACGATATAATTTTACTTCGAAATTCGCAGATCGATCATGTCGGTCATACCGGCAGTGTCATGCCGGTTTCATGACCGGAACTGGTTGAACCAGGTTCAACCGGTGGCATGCCGGCTGGTATGACAACCATGTTTCAGATCCTTTTCCTAATCTTATAGCTTCCAAAACCCGATCGATTCACAATGAAAATGCTCACCATCAAGAGATCCTTCGAATTGCATCATTGGGTAATCAATTGCTTATCGCCCATGAGAAAGGTTATGATTTTATATGTTCCTCAACTTTAGAAAGAATACAAAGCTTCTAAGAAAAGGAACATTAAAACAACATTCCTTTTTTTTTTTGGTAAAAATTAAAACAACATTCCTAAACCTAAATTTGTGAAACCATAAATACCCACAACTGAGAGATACTAATGGGACTTAGTGCACATTCCATATATACTGGACAAGGCTTGGTTAGCGGAGTTGGAGTTTCCATATCCACAAACAATGGAATGTAAACCTGCCATTACAGCAGTTGCAGGCGGTATCTTTGAGCATTTATTTATCAATGTGGATGTACAAACGCAAGGTGTGGAATTTCCTGACAAGCTTGGCAGATAAGCAGCATCATTAATGAGCAGGAAACAGAATGAAATGCACCTGAGAGTAGTTTTGGATGGCTTTGTTGAAGGCACTGTGATAAGCATGCACAACTTCATCCACAACCTCCTCAACTATATCTATTTGCTCCTTCAAATAGTGGAGCTCATTTTCACGATCTCTTGATGTTAGAATATGAACCACATTAGGCAAGGTGTCAAAACGAGGAACAGCCCAACTCTCATCGATTTTCAAAATCTCGTCCCTTAAATACTACATCAAAGACAAAAGAAAATTTGGTGAGAAGTAAGAGCAAGATAAAACTAATCGCAATTTTAATATTACATCAGCGAAAGCAGCTGAATATGTAAGAGTCTTGGCTCCTCACTTCATGATTGCTTTTTTCCAGAAATGATGAGCAAGAAACAAGTAGACCATGGTCCATGAAACCGTACCGGAGACTGAACCGGAAAAGTCAGCTGTAGGGTATTTTATGATAAAACCGTGGTTTTATCGTAGTTCAACCGTTGTACCGTTAAATACCGCCTACCGATTTAACCTCTGATACTGGTATTTCGTGGTTGAACCGCCAATACGGTACGGTTCCATGGACCATGAAGTAGACACAATTATAATGCTGCATCAGTACTTATTACACGACATTACCTTCATGATTGATTGCAGAAACACAATAAGATCAACCACTCAATCAAATCACTTTTGGAACAAGAATCATATTTCAAGAGATGGTTCCAACATTATCACCTCAGTACAACTCCTTTCTCATTGTTTGTTGCTAGCACACGAAAGAATCAATGTCTAATGCTTTTTTATTTATTTCCCGATAGTTATATTATTCTAAAGGGAAACTTTTAATTACAACTTACCTCTTTATCAGGTGGAACTGGCAATCCATCAAGAAAAAAGAGGTAAAAATTGAATGGAAGAAAATGGTTGCAGATGGTATTGATGCATCTCAAGGACAAGTTGATGATGATGCTGGGGATTGGCTGCCTGCTGTTAGTATGGGTACTCATAGAAAGTATCTTAGAAGGAAACTATAAATCCTAAGAATGATCCAAAAGTCGAATCTCTCGAAATCTCCAAGTATTTCAATCAAGCAACCATTGAACAGCTTTGCGCACAAATTAACCACTACCGGTTGAAAATTCACAGCATCAACGACGTTAGTTCCCGATTCAGAAGGAAAAACCGAATAAATAGAGCTTCGAGAACAGCCGCAAGCTCAAGAGTAAGTTCCACCAAAACATTTCATGTATAAACCATAAGAATGATCCAGAAGTAGAATATCTCGAAACCTCGAAGTATTTCAATCAAGCAACCACAGAACAGCTCGACGAACAAATCAACGACAACTGTAAGTTGAAGAAAACAAACCTAGCAATTGAATTAGCCTCGCCAGCTGCCAGTAAACCTCCCCAGCCATGGAAAAGCCTCCCTGTCCACCGAATTGAAACTCCTTTGCAGCTCTTGCAAAAGGTTAGGCAGATTCACCGGATTCAAACGCTGGTAAAGGCGGAAGATGCTTCATCAGAAAAGAGAGGCAAGGAATCGATCGGAATATCAAGATCAGCATGCCACATGAGATTCCGATGGCTGTGTGGGCGGAGTTGATTTCAGACAAACTTCAACCAGGACATGCAATTGGTAACGGTAAACCTCACCACCTACTATCCCCGCGGTGAGTTGTGCTTTCTAAACCAAAAATTACCCAGTAGTGCGACACTAATAAATCTGAGATTCTCTCTGACTGTGAAGAAGGCACGAGTAGCAATGGATCAAAGTGTTCCCATTGCTCAACTGACTACCGAAGAAAACAAGACTTGGGTTTTACACTGTAGAGTCTCCAGAAAATGGATAGCTATCAATCCGAATACCAATATTGTGATCAGTTTGGATATGGTGCTGCTGGATGCAAAGGTATTTACGTTCTTTCGTAGAAAGCTTTGTGTGTGAGATTTCTGAATGTCGAATTTCTTATGGATGTCATGGACGTGATCACAGGGAGATGCCATTTGGGTTCAAGTCCCGCGGAACTTGATCAAGAGATTTGATTCTAAGATTGAAGAACAAGCCATATGTGTCATTGCAAAGTTCAAAGTGAGACCATTAACTTCGAACACAAAGTATCGGCCTCTTAACAATCCCTTGGTAATTGAGTTTCTACCAGGGACAACCATTCGCCCCACAGACAGTACACAGTCAATCCCTCGCCACTTTTTCATATTTATCCAACATTCTGATATACCACAGAACGTGAACAACAGGATGATTTTGCTTGGTAAGCTGGTTCGATTTTGAGTCCAATAGTTATCAAAGTTGAATTATTGACTTATTAATTTTCAACTGTCATATCCTATGATGTAGATGTTTTTGGCTTGCTGAAGGAATGTTTGCCTCCAATTACTACGACTAATCTGAGAGGAAGGTCTACTCGCAAGGAAATTAAGATCATGTTGCTTGAGTACTCCTCTTAATTATGACTTTCTAACTAAAATTTTTACTTGCATCTTCTTATTATTATAATGGATTATGATTAATAACCATAATCGTAGGGGAGTGGTAGTGGACATAGTACTCTGGGGGCGACTAATCACTCAGCTGGATGAAATTATCTTGGTAGCTGGTAGCAAGCCAATCATTTTGGTCATTCCGTGTGTTTTTGTGACTAAGTACAATGGTAATTCCATTTGCACTATCTTCCAATTACAGTATCTATTATAGTAGTAATGTGTATGCCTAACTTCTTAATCCTCCTATTCGATTTTAGGAGGAGACCTTAAGTTATCGTCGTCGACTGCGACCAAACTTTATGGAAATTTAGATTTACCTGAAGTTGCAGCCTTTCACCAAAGGTATTTTCCCCTGAGTTTGTTTGCTCATACACATAACAAAACAACAACAGACTTCAACAATAGGCATATGCATATACTAATTATCGAGTTTTTGTGACAAGGCATCGTGAATTAAATGCTCCCCGCATCATTGAGCGAGAAGTTGACCCCCCACTAATTTCCATAGAAGATTTGATTAGCCTACTCAACAACTCTGCCAATGAGGTGATGTACTGCAAGTTGATTTTTTTTTTTTTTTTGCCCATACACATGTTGTATCCATGCACAAATTGGTTTTATACTTGATTAGTAAAAAGAAAGCATGTTCATTTTTGTCATCTCAGAATAAGGTGTTTACCATTAAGGGGTACGTCTGTGAAGTCATGCACAACTGGTGCTATGATGGTTGTACGAAATGCGCCTCCAAATTGCGTGCAGGAGTGGATCATTTCTACTGTGAGAAGTGTAACGCACGGTCTGCTCAGGGAGTCAAAAGGTTTGGGAATTTTGTATGCTTTATGATTTCTTTATTACTTTGTGTTTTGTCATATTACGAAAAATTCCATTGAGTAAAATGTAGTTTACATTTATCATATCAACTACTTATCCATTACAGGTTTCGACTTGAGCTCTCTGTGATAGACTCCTCGAGTGAAGCACTTTTTGTTGTTCTGGATCACGCAGGCTGGAAATTTTTTGATAAGTCAGCTCAAGAACTTTACCTTTCAAGTGATCAACACCATAATGGGGTACCTGCTGTTATCCAAAACTTTGAAAGGGTAGATGTGACGTTTCACGTCAAACTAAATTCGTACACTTTCAAAAATCCATCACATGGATTTAGTATTGTGAAAATCGTTGAACCCAAAGGAGTACATCAGCTACGTAGTAAAACTTTTGAATCTGGCCAGGTATGTGCTTACAATTATAAGCTTCTTGCATTGGTACAAGATGATTAGCTATGAATGGAAGAATCTCAAATGTGTTTGCTATGCATAGTCATGGTTTTTTTGCCTTGGTGTTAAACAGAATACCAAATAAACCTTAGACCCAAAATGTGCCTTCACTCTCTTTAAGGAATTTAATTGGTTTAATTTTGTCTCAGCACTCTAATGAAGGAAATATCAATTCAACTTCAGCCATCGATGTTGTGGGAGAACAGTCCACTGAAGAATCCATTATCAATACCACAACTGCGATTGGCCATGTAGAAGCACGAGATGAAAGTCTTGATGGTGGTGTTCGCACGCCGCTAAAGAGGAAGTTAAGTGATGAGGAATAGGTTGCAATAGTTATTTGGAGTCAGTATCTTATATGTAGATTAGGTTTCTTCCTTTAAAGCTGTACATTGGAAATGACCAGTGTTCAGGACATGACTATTTAAACGCAGTTTTTGTCATACTTTGTGGAACCTCTATTGGATTGCTTTATTTATGAATTATATATATTTGTGATGTCATTACTATCTCCCACGTGACTTAGCAAACTAATTGGCTTCCTCGAATCTAAGTCTTTGGTCTTAATTTCTTATAAGATTAGTATGCTTTGTTTTCTTCTCAAGTTGGCATAACGCTATTGATAATGACTTTTTCACACCATCATGAATGGAATACTCACCTTGATTGATTCATCACAACGCATTCTATAAGAAAAATAAGGATCACATTATTTATTTCCTCCGGCCAACGGGCCGGGTATCACGCTAGTATATATATAGGGAGGTTTTCTACAGAACACTCTCTATTCTGAATTTCTAGCTTTCTGAGTGATTTTAGGAAGGATAGTATTATAATTTTAATTAAAAACAAAAAAAAATAGATTATCTGTCGAGGATACAAATTTAAACTCTACCCTAATAATCGGCAGACAAAAAGACATTTTTTTAATTATACACGAGACTATTAGCTTTTTTGTTTTATTATAAAGGTTAAGTGTTTTATTCAAAATCAAATTCTTTTTAATGAGTCAACGGTTTATAGACTAGACAATTTAGGATTAGCTATTTTTTGTTTTAAAGGTTAAGTATTTTATTCAATATCAAATTATTTTTAATTATCACTTGATTTTTAGGGTTTTTAGTGACGAATTGAAAATTGCTTCTTTCTGCTTGGCATGCATCTTTCTCCTATTAAATTTAATGGTATAGTTTTTTCATTTTAAATTAAAAATAATTTTTCATTGTAAATTTATATTAATTGTTCTCTTCAAAATGATATTCACTTTTATATATTTTGGATAAAAAATATTTTCTACACCATGGCGGCAATACTTATAAGTATATAAAATTACATCATTGTGATATGGAAGTGTATGATGGTGGTATAAATAGATTTTAGTGTAGAATTGTTGTATATGTGATACTAGAAATATATTAATCATCATTTATCACCTTTCCCTATCATCTTCCATCACTTAGCACCTTATAAAGGGTGGTATATAACTATATATTTGGTCATATAAAGTTTTTTTTCATAATTTTGTAGATCACCATAGATCATGATAAACCCGTTCCTTCTGTGAAAACTTTTTCAAGATTTGAATTAAAATGAAGGTGGTGATGAATGCTGTGAAAAAGTCTAAAAAATATATCTTAATAATATAATTTTGGATGACACAATGAACCCGTCTTATATGTGTAAAAAAACTTACAATCCCAGTTAAAAACAAAGAACATACAAATAAAAAAATAAAATAAAGAATTTGAACTTAATTCAACATCAAACTCATTTATTAAAATAAGGTAAACCATAAGAGAGTACACAATTTTGAAGATAAGAGGAATGAGCAAATATGGGACAATTTTCAAGACTTGGACAATACAATTGTTGTTTAAACCATTTACAAAATGCATCCGGCCAACAGGTCGTGTTCAAATCTAGTTTTGGATGTGTAGCTGATAGCCTGATACTGTGTTTGTCGACAGTTGTAACCTGGAGATGAAATTTCAATTTACAGAGTAGGCCGAGTTTTGAACCAGAGTCTACTAGATCGGAACTCTTACCTAGACTTGATTGACGAATGATGAGTCCTGTACATCAGTGCATGGTCTCAGAGTAGGCCGAGTTTTGTACATGATTTGGTTTTCCTCTGCATTAACTCCAAATATGAAGTACTTATAGACTACCAGACTAAGGTTGTTTATCTGTACTTTTGCATCTATTCTCTTTTTGGTTTCATAACTTGTGGTTTCGTTCCTAGCAAGGGTCTTATGTCTTAAAGCTTGAATGGCCAGGTTCTCCTAATCTCCAATGGCAGAGATCAGTAAAGAGCATGTACAACAGAGGAAGTTCTCGAGTTTTCACCATCATAAGAACATGGAGTTGGAGGTCATTAAATAATACACTGAAGAAACTAATCTCATGATTGATTTTGTTCGTTCATAGACAGACCTTCTGTCAGGGTTATCATTCATACTGCTGGTAAAACACCGGCACGAATACAAGTACAAAAACACCAAAAAGAAACAATGAAAACAATCATTTACTTCTTCTTCCCTGCTTTTCCTTCCTTCAATCTCACAACCTCATTAGCATACCTCACACCCTTACCTTTGTACGGCTCGGGGGGCCTCCATCGCCTAATCGAAGCAGCAAACAGGCCAATGTCACACTTGTCATACCCACTGATTATGATTCTGGTGTTCTCTTCCACCTTCACCTTCAAGTTATCCGGAATTTTCATCCTAACTGGATGAGAAAACCCTAGACTTAAAACCAAGTCGTTTCCTTCAACTGTTCCACGATAACCAACTCCGACTAACTGAAGCCTCTTCTCGAACCCCTTCGATACTCCCACCAACATGTTGTCGGTAAGTGTCCTGAGAGGACGCCAATTTGCAAAGGGTAGTCAGAGTCATTAAAGGTTGTAAGTAAATTTGACAAGAACACAGCCTCAAGCTTCTGTTTTCAATTTGTTCCAGCTATACTAGCTAAGAGCACCACAAATTCTTAGATGACAACAAGAAGCTTACATCAATACATGATAACTCATTTCACACTTCTAGCCATCGAGTTCAGTAATCAACTAAAACTCCAGTCATTAACATATCAGTAGCTGAATTCCAACACAAACTTCTTCGTGACTTAAAATAGACTACATAACTCATAGAAGTCCTCAAAATGTCGAACCAATCAGTTTCTGAAAATCGAGCAAGTTTTCTATCAAACACATTCTCCTATCATACACAAAGAACCACTGTGGAAGCAAAGCCATGCAATCAATAGAGTTGAGAGCTTACCTATAAAGTCCATGCATTTGGTTGGCCCTTCTGGTCTCCGTCGCCTTCTTAACACGAATGGTTCCATCCTCTTGCCTCTCGAGCTTGACTTCCGAGGGGTAAACCCTAGAGAGTTCTCCCAAAGGTCCCCTGACTTTCAGTTCCTGGGATTCCAATGTGATTGTCACATTCTCTGGAACTTGAATCGGCAGCTTACCAATTCTTGACTCCTTACATTCGATACTCCTCCTCGGGAAACTCAAACGAGAAACTGGAGTGTGAGATACACAGATTCTGCTACTCTCGCCCCAAAACACAGATCTCAGATTGCTGAAAACATCAGAAGGCAAATTACATCTGAGATTTTAGATACCTCAACTCATGCTACATTTACTTGCATACCAAACGGATCAAAGAAGGAACAAAGAAACATACTCTAGCACATTTTACAAATCTTCAGCCATGAAGGCTAATTCAAATTCTGTTCAATTCATTATAAAAAACCATCATACGGACAGTAACTCGTCTCCCTTGAACTATTGCGCAAGTAACCTGACTGCACATTCTGAAAGCGACTGTTTTTACATAGGTGCTTCTCGAAGCAAAATGTAGTTCAGTTCACTCGACATTTTCAGCGAGGAAAAGCTCCACTGGAAGTTATATGACTCCACATACGAACGTGGGAAGGCAGGGTTTCGTAAAAGCCAAATAAAAACTCTAGGGCTAGAACGCTGTAGTTAATAATAACCTTTCACCTGAGAATCCCAAGCTATATTCCAGTAATTAAGCTAGCCAGAAACGTTCAACAGAAACTGAGATACGAAGCCAACCGAGCGCCAAGCAAGAACCTTTCCACAAAATTACTACCACTAACAAAGGAAATCGAAGCTTTATGGAATAGGGTTCTCGAACCTGGTATAAAAATTCGAAGTGATGGAGGAGGACGCCATGACCAGAAGCTCCTTAGAACAGATAGGGGAGAAGAGCCTATCCAAATCCCAAAAGAAGAAACAGGAAGTACCGGCTAAGTATAAGCCAGATTACAAAATTGCCATCTCGCCACCGCAATGTGATGGGCCTAATTCCTTTTTAGAGATGGGCTAAAAGAAGAGAGCTGACCCAACCTCGTCCGTGGAAAGGCTTTTTTTCCTCTTAGGCCTGGGCATTGTTTATCCGGCTTTCTGACTTAAACCATCTCCAACATAGTTTGAATTGGCCACAGATTAATTTGGCGAGGAATTTTACTATGCTATATAGCATTGGTACTATAGGTTTTGCCTTTGTAGTATACATTTAACGTTATGGTACAACTTTAGATTGTACACATACTCTTTTGTACAAATTCTTTCATGGTACAACTTAAACTTGTACATTTATGTGATGAGACAACTTTAAGTTGTAAAGTTGTATCATAAGATAAGGGTACAAATTCCTTTATGGTACAACCTGAACTTATACATTTAACGTTATGGTATAACTTCAAATTGTACATTAAAGCACCCATACTTTAGAGCATAGTAGAAGTGCTCTAATTTGGCACTTCGTCGTTGGTACTAATATTTAGTAGACACTAGCCATGACCTCGACCCATTGGCCGATGGAGTTTTGTGAATGACAAATAAGCTGATGTTGTTCCTTTGCTATTAGTTTGTTCTATCAATTTAATTGTAGTAGTTTTTTTTTTTGTCATAGATATTCCAAAAGAAGGAAACGACAGATATAATGTACAAAATAAAGTCTTTTCAAGCTGAAAAGAAAAAGAAGGGACGTCAGCCGACCAACCACCGACAAACAATAAGAGAGCATTCTTGCCACAATATGTGCAACTTTTTAATACCTATTTGGCAAAAACTAAGTCCTTGACTTAATTTCCACCCCTTTGCAGGACAGAAGTCAATGACCAAGCCCATGTGGCTGTCAAATGACCGCAATGCAGCAAACCCTGCAAATCTAATAAGAAAATATGCCCGGAGCAAACAAACACAATATAAATTAAATCAAGGATATAGATAGGGCACCCCGCAAGTTGACATTCCATCAAAACTATTAAGTCCAAAGAGTCTTCTTCGTGGTGCATGCTGTTTACGCCTAGAAAGTGCCAGGCGGGATTGGTGGGAACTTTGAGGAGATTCCTTCTTTCCTTGGACGAGAAGACCGTTCCTACAGAAAAGATCCGGGGCGGGGGCCCGGGATACTCTCCAACAATCAAGTCAGTATTCAGAGAGAGAAAGTAGATAGAGAAAGAGAGTAGGTTAGTTACCATTAAATGTGGTGGTTGGTCGGTATTTATAGTCGGTGATGGTTTGTATGAGCATTTAATGCTCTGTCTTGCGTGTACCCTACGTCAGCCCAAACAGCTACACCTCTGGCTGCATTTAATGAAGTGTCAGTATATGCATGATTAGCACCGAGTGTCGTCTTATCCCTTGTACGTCTCTTACGCGCGCGATTCCGGAGGCGTCTCCGCCTCCGTTTATTTACTCGCTATTGGGCCTTCATGGCTATTAGCTCAACAGGCGCCTCCGGTCCTTTACTCCCTATTGGGCCCTCATTGCTATTGGGCCTGCTCTTGTTTTGTGGGCTTTTGGTTTGGGTATGTGTTCCCGTATGGCCCAACAATTGTCCCGCAAGAGGGTAAAGCCTCCGGGTTTGGGCGGTTGATCTTCTGAGTCTGGGCCGGGAACGCTTCTCAAACCAAAGACCTAACTAGTACGTCATTCCCCCCAGTTGCCGAACTTGTGGCGTCACGCCTCAGGATGATCTTATCAGTTGTAGACTACCACATGTAACACAACGTGTCTTCCCATTAGCAGCAGAAGGGACGTGCCGTCAGACGTTTGAAAATCTGTAATTATTACCTATATAGCATACCTAGGGTTTCTTGAGGGATCTTTTGTGGAATCCACGCCTTCTTCCTTTTAAAAACCCTCTGAAGAATTGAAACGGGTTAGTTCACTATTTCCCTCTTGGCTTCGTCTTCTGGTTCTTCTTTCGATTGTTGCCGTCCTCGTGATTTTCCCTTCTATATTTCTCACAGCCCGTTGCGGTTACTAAAATTCTAGCGTTCTCTTACAATGACTGGTGGAGACGGCTCTTTGCACTTGTTGCCTTCTATCGGCTTTGGGTCGTCGCCGGGCCGGAAGAAGTCATCGTCCGACCCTTTCGCCGTCGCCTCTGTCGCCACAATTACTCAGGCGCTGCTCCAATTAATCTCGACTCGTTAGAGCGGTGTCGGATCCTATTACCGCTGCCGCTCAAGGTATGCTAAATCTGAATCTTATATCGCCGTTTAGTATGTCGGAAATTGATTGGGATTTTAGTGGGGTAGATGCGAATTTTGGTGGTTCTTGGTGGGATGACGGTCGATACCTGATAGGTAGATATGGAGACGGGTCATTTGAATTGATAGATGTTGCTTTGGGTTTAGGCGTAGAGAATGTAGCCAATAGGGGGGACGTTTCCGCCGTCGGGGACAATTAAGACAGTTTCGACGTTCTGTCTATGGCGAGCGTGAGTACTGAGGAGGGGCTCAGTATTGATGAACAGAACTCGTCTGTGCGGCGCCTTCCATTAGGCTTTCCGAAGATACTTCCGACCATGATTACAACGCGGTGGCGGACGACGAATACTCTGTGCGCCTTCATGAGCATATGTGGAGTAGGAGCGAAGTTCCCCTTCGTGCTTTCAATCGGGGACCTGATAGGTATAGCAAACTCAAGCCTGCCATCGTCCTTGCCCGCCTCAGGAATTACAAGCTTCCAACTGAGTGGAAATACGCATCCCCGTCTTCCACTTCCAGGGCGGGAACGTGTCCAAAAGGATGGATCACCATATACACCGAACAGTTGAAGCTTGGCTTGCGCTTCCCCCTAGACTATCTTATCACTCAGACACTGTTGTGTCTAAAATGCACCCTTTGGACCTTGGATTATCAAAAAGACCATGTGTCCACAATCGCTGAGTTGTCTCCAATTCATGTGAACCCGGGGGGGGGGGGGGGGGGGGGGGGGGGGGGGGGGAGAGATTCTGTGACGGGCATTCTGACTGAACTCTTCGGAGATGGTCAGTAGTGTTGTGTCTTGCTTTACTTTCTAAAGCGTTCTTCCTGCCTCTTCCATGCTGATTTGTTCTCTCTTTTGCAGCCATGAACTTTGGGAGCGTGGCTGGCAAGGCCTCCAAGGCGAGCAAAATTGAATATTCCAAGAACGGGGGGCGCCCCTCAAGCTACAACGAACCCTGGTCCTTCCGCTCAGCCAAAGGCCTTGCTTCCTTCAAGCAAGTCCTTCACACCTGCAAGGCAGGCCACACTTGCTAGTGGAGCGGATGGACTGATGACAGTGCAAACGGGCGGCGACTTAGCTCGCAAGAGCCGTGATACTGGGAAGTGTGCTGCTGAGGCACCGATGGAGGATCTGGAGGAGGGACGAAAGAAGACCAAAGCAACTGCCCTGAACGAGACTATCGCATTCTCCCCCCATTCCTCGCTTCGCGAGGATTGTGCTCGCCGTATGCTTCATGAGCTGTCCGGGAAGCTGCTTGTACCGCCGGAGTATACCAACGTTGACGACCCGTCAACAAGGCACTAGGTAGGCACCGCCGCCCGTTTCCTAGTATCATGGTTGCAGTTAAATTCCGTCTTCTTGGCCTTCCGCTTTCTACGTTTCCAGTTGCGCTCAATTCCGTAAATAAACTCTTCTCGCGTAACTCCAACTTTCCTCGACTCTCCTCCACCCACGTGACATGTGTCACGTTCTTCATAGCCGAACAATTCTTCGTCCTTCCTTTCGAAGTCCACAAAATAAGAGTCGGAGAACTGTTCTTCAGTTTTCTTCATAAATTCTTCTGCGGGTCTGGTGGTGAAGATCACCCAACCTTTTATTCCTTCACCTTGAACTCGGCCAACCATTGCTTGAAAGAGAGAGTTGTGGCCCAAACAAATGACAAGTCCATTTATGTTCCATTCTTCTCCACATGGGTTTGGCTTAAGCTCTTTTGAAAGCCCACAACTTTCTTTCTTCAAGTAACTTTCCTGCAATTTAAATCCAATCAAAGAGCCTAATGGCGGTCAAATACCTCCTTGACTCAGCCTGCTTTCTTGATTAAGCCCAACACATTTGCTTTCTCTTCCTAGCCAGCTCTCTCTAACTCAACTAGGCCAATGATCCAAATAATCCTGCCTAAGAGGAACCCAGCTGGTCTCTTGTCTTTTACTAGTCTGCGGCCCAAACACCCCGGCCCAACCAACCCAGCGACCCGACCCGGCGAACCAACTCCGTCCATCCTTTCCTCTCCCTGCTGATCGACGACACGAGGGGGGCCTCCTTCGCTTCCTTCTGCTCACCCGCCGGCAGCCTCTTCGCCTTCTTCTCTGTCGACGTCTTCTTCGGCGGCGAGCAGAGGATCCCGCCGCCGCGCTTCTTCTCCGACCTCGCCGCAACGAAGCCAACCGCCGCGGGTCGCTGCTCCCTTCGCGCGATTCTCCCCTTCGGCGAGACTTCAATCCTGCGGTGCGGAGCCACTCTCGAGCCCACGATCTTCCTCTTCGACTCGTTCCCCGGAAAATCCTCGATAGGCTCCGGCGATTCCTTGCCCGTTATCTCAAGTGGACCCGCTGGAATCTGCCTCTCTAGTTGCTGGGTTCGCAGCCCCAACCGCCCAACCCGGCGGCCCATCGCCACCTCTTCATCGTCATCGTTCACTGCTGGTGGCTTATTCGGCGGCCGCAATGGTGGTGGAGTTGTCGGGTTTAGGAACGCCCGGCTTTCGCTCTTACGCGCTCGATCCGGATAGTTTCCGGAGTTCTCCTTTCCCTGGCACCACTCAAATTTCCCAGGAGAACTCGGTGATTCCAGGCACAATAATGGGAGAATGACACTGCTATCTCCACTCTCCATAGTGGCAGGAATAGGTGTTGGAGCATTGGATGCTTTTAGCGCATCGAGTCTTTGTCCCCGATCTTCTTCCACGTTCTTCGCAGCCGAATCTGCCTGCGTTGTATAAGTGGCAACAGCTGTCGTTGCTCCTGTTCTCATCGACTCGGTGGTGATCACCAACATCGGCTGTTTGATGTTCTCGGCCGCGACATCGACTACAGGAACAACTAACGATGACGGCGGTGGTGGTGTCGCAGCAGCCGCTACAACAGCTTCTTTCTCGACCTTCACAGCGGCGTTGGTTTCCCCGTGCTCGAACTCGATTGAGAACGCGAGTTGTTCCAACAAATCTTCAAAGTCCGTTTCAACGACCTGCGGTTCGATTATGGCTGCGGTCGTAGGTGGGATTGAACTCCTCTCCACTCTCGCAGCCTCCAACCTCATTCTAAGAACCATGGTGAGTTCTTTGATTGAGGGAACTTCGAATCTCGACATGGTTCCGGTACGAGTGCCTACAACCGAGCTCTGATACCACTGAAAGAACCCCGCTTCTAGTGATTCTAGGGACTGATCTTCGGCACACTACTCGTAACGATTAGGGATTTAGAGGAGAAAGAACATAATAGAATTGGAAATCGGCCAAGGCCTTGGAGTGGAGAGATATTAGGTTTAGGAGAGATACTTTGCTTAATACTTTTCTTGATTGATTATGACGTAAACCCAAAGTACATATTTATAGGAAATAAACCCAAAACCCTAACAATTAACCCTAATCTACTCGGCCACTCTAACTGCCTAACCCTACTAATACGCATAACACTATTAATTATTATTATTCTAATAATATATATTGCTAACACTCTCCGCCGTGGATTACTTCAGTATCCAGGCAAATACAATAAGGTCGAGAACTAAAGTGTGCAGAAAGGAGCATAGAGCAACTATTATCTTGGAAGGAGACAAAGAAACTTCTCGTAAAGGTTAAAATGTATCTGATGGTCAGCAAACTTAGGTCACACAATTCGTAGGGAAGGGGTCTGCGCTCTCGCTTTCGAGCGTAGAAACGCGAATTGGGAAGGAATCGCAAAAAATACGCGAAATATTTTTCGTTGAAGCGCGAATTTTGTTGGATAATTCGCGTTTTTATTTCACAGACGGAGATGGAAGAGGAATCGTAGATGGTGTCCTCCGATTTGGTGAAGGAGGTGAAATCTCTAACTGGTTTGATGGATGAAGGCGAAAAGAAAGGAAATATGTTGACCGGGGAGGTTTCGAACTTTGCACTTTGCAGGGAAGAATATTTCGTTGGCTATTACCTACATCGCAAACCAAGTCAGGAGTTCCAATACAAGCTGACTTTCGGGAAAATCGGTGGGGCTTATCTACGTTTGGAAGATTGGAGGCTATATGGAGAAACTGGGGGAGTTGTCAATGAGGAGGAAGAGAGAAATAAGCAAAGCAAAATCAGGGGCAAGGGAAAATTGCTCGGAGGTGAGCGACTGTGAAGAAGCTGAATGAGAGTTGGTAAACGACGACATGCAAAGGCCAGAGCAACAGATCTGAAGGATCAGACAACAGATCCGTGCGAGAATCGATTGGGGAAGAGTAGGGAGGGAAGGCAGAACATCTATTTTCATATCTGTTACGCTGGTGGAGATGATTGTCGCCGGGAATAAGCTCATCGACGCGACGGAGGAAATATCTAATTGGCGGTGAAATTGACTGCGAAAGTGGAGAGGGCCAGAGGGGGCGGTGGGGGAAGAATGAGGGGACCCTTGGAATAATTTAACTTTTTTAATGGGCTCTTTCTTTAAAATATGATTTTAAGTTTTAGATAATTTTATTAATAAAAGTAAGAAAAACAAAGACATATGTCTCATAAACTCACGCTTTCACAAAAAGATATGGCTTTATTATGCACTTACACCTACATTATTTAATTTATAATTATTTATTTTAGTTAGTATAATTACTTAAATTAAAAATAATATAATAAATTGACGCTCTGATCACGCTTTCATTATTAAATCCTTCAGAAATAGACGCTTTCACCCTCTCGCTCCCGCTCCCGCTCTACGAACTTGTTACCTAACAGCAAACACTATAAGATTCCTAATTCCTTGCTTCTTTCAGCTAATACCCACCACAGACTTCATGTTAACACCTCATTCACTAGTCCTTTTTTTTTAGTTTCTTCTGTCAGGTGTGTTATTTTGGAACACCCACCCACTTAATCCATTGACATGGATCAATAAACTAGGGATTGATTGGGATGGTGCTCTTGATTTTCCAGACTCATGTGACCTGTTCTTTTCTTCATTGCCATGAAAATATCAGAACTTTATGGTCACTACCATGAAAAAGGAGAATGAACTCATGTTCATTAACGTTGATTCACACAAGAATAGGGAGTATTGGTAGACACTGTAACATATTGGTCTCAACTTGTTGGATCAGACCTACGTGCAATCTCAACTGTTCATCTCTGTGCAGTGACAACTTTTCTTTATCGTCATTGCGCGTGTTAAAAGGCCAGAGATCATGTGTGGCATATAATCCAGCAGCATCAACTTCAACTTATGCCACACCCAGCTTACTGCAGAATAGGGAGGTTACAAGGAACAACCTAGGATTGAACTGGATCCATTTATTGAATCCAAAGTCGTCCTTGTTTTTCCCACAGAAGGTGGAACTTGACAAAAAAGGAAAACAAAAAATAGGGTAAATATTAAATGATACAATCCCCCAAAGATGCTTGATGTTAGTTCATATTGGGTGTCATTTTCCTAGATAGATTCTCCTCTGCAGGTTGACTGGCTGCTAATTAGCCATTCACCAACCTCTATCACATTGTTACATATATTAATCATCAGTGCATGACAATAAATACTCAATGATTCTTGATTTGTGAGTAACAAATGGTTTCCTCCTGATGATGTCAAACCCCATCCCCTTCCACATAAAACTTATCTAGTTCATACTTCCACAGGTTGTTCCCTCCAAAAATCAATTTCTTTATCTGAGCTTCTGACTCTTGTGAAAATAACAATGTCCTTCTTCCCCTTATTAAATATTCAACTAGTGTTCATATTATAAGACACTAATCTCCACTAACATATTACAATATTACTGTGTGGCAGGATACATAGGTTGCAATGAAATAGTAATCTTGCATGAAGCAAGCAAAATGGCCACATGCTCCACACACATGATCCCTGGACCCACTTGTTACTCCATCCTATCCCATTTCCAGACACTAATAAAGTGACTTTCTTTCTTCTGCATTCTTGATTTTGCTATACAAAACTTGGTGAAAGAGACATGTAACTAATGCATCTTTGATATAAGATGCTAAGACTAAAACCAGCAAGTAGCATGTAACATGTTTTAGGTTAAGCAGTAGCACAGAGAATCATTCTTTGCTTGAGCTTGCAGAAACTGTTTTTTAAGCTTTAAAGAGAAAATTTTGTTGTACCTCTTATAGAAACTTGATCCAATGATGCTAAAATAATGTCAAATAATTAATAAACAAAAATATTAGAGTGGAATGGCCTTTTGGGTGGTTTTCTGGTCTACAAGTCTTTCTAGCAATATTTTAACACTGGGTCTTGGTTGGATGTGTATTCCTTCTGTTTGGGGTTGAGAGGGGAGGGGTTTTTGAGGGATTCCCTCTTTATTCTCAGGGAGATAAATCTACTACTTTGTCCTCCTAGGGAAAGATATCGTACCTCTCATCTGTGAACAACCACAAAGTTGGATTCTTGCTAAGAAGTTCGGTGTCAGAAATGTTTTCCCCAAACCACATCGGCAGATTACTTGTTTGCAAGGCTTTCCAGCTGAGTTCCCTTGCTGCTCATGTTCATCCCAACTCATTTCCTTTCCAGGAGGCCTCTATTATTATAAGGATGAATATGAAGATGGTGGTATGAAACCAAAAATTGGGCTGATTTTCAAGTCTTACATCTAATTTCTCTCAAATGGCAAGAAAGGTGTTGTTGCTTCTGCTGATTCTTGGGGTTCGTTCGCTGTGAATGGAAGTCTTGGGTGCTAAAAATGACTCTTCATCTTCTTCATCAAGGCCAAAGATGGTGAATTTAGGAGCCCTCTTCACTTTTGATTCAGTGATTGGTAGAGCAGCCAAGCCAGCAATCTCAGCTGCAATTGATGATTTCAATTCTGATTCCACCCTCCTCTCAGGAACCAAGCTGAACCTTCTCTTCCATGACACAAATTGCAGCGGATTTCTTGGAACTATTGAAGGTATATTACAGAATCCCCGCCTTCTTTTCTCTTCATAGCCTTTTTTACTACTTATCTCAAGCAACAATAGCCTTTGTACTGACAATATCAAAACAAATGAAACTAGCCAAAAGAGTCATTTCCTTTATCAGGGATTTGGGAATTTTTACTGTTACTGTCACAATGACGCTTTATGTATCGGTTTTGTAAGCACGAATGAACTTTTTGAACAACCAGAGCAACTGAATGTGAGAATAGTGACTTGAATAAGGTGTTCGCTTTGTAGCTTTGCAGCTGATGGAAAATGAAGTGGTGGCAGTAATTGGGCCTCAGTCTTCAGGGATAGCTCACGTGATCTCCCATGTGGTCCATGAGCTTCATGTTCCATTACTTTCATTCGCGGCCACCGATCCAACCCTAGCAGCACTCCAATACCCATACTTCCTTTGAACTACACAGAGTGACTACTTCCAAATGTATGCAATTGCTGATCTGGTCACATACTTTGGGTGGAGGGAAGTCATTGCCATCTTTGTCGATGATGATTATGGAAGGAGTGGAGTGTCTGTTCTAGGAGATGCCTTGGCGAAGAAGCGAGCCCAGATCTCTTACAAGGCTGCCATCAACCCAGGAGGGAGTCAAAGCACAATCAAAGAGAGATTGGTTGAGGTTAACCTAAGGGAATCGAGGGTCTACATTGTCCATGTCACTCCTGATTCAGGGCTTCCCATTTTCTCAGAAGCCAAGAATCTTGGCATGATGAGCAAAGGTTACGTGTGGATCACTACAGACTGGTTGGCTTCTTTGTTGGATTCTTTGGTGCCACCAGATGCCGATACAATGAGCCTTCTCCAAGGGGTGGTGTCGTTCAGGCACCACACTCCAGATACCGACCTCAAGAAGAAGTTCATGAAAAGATGGAACGATGATCTGAAATACAAGAAACCAGGACCATCATTGTTTAACTCCTATGCACTCTATGCTTATGACTCTGTTTGGCTTGCTGCACAAGCACTTGAGACTTTCTTAAACAGCAACGACACTGTTTCTTACTCGAACGATCCAAAATTACGCGATGTCAATGGAAGCACATTGCACTTGTCATCTCTTAGAGTATTTGATGGAGGCCAGAAGTACCTTGACACACTTCTGACTACCAACTTCACTGGTTTTAGTGGTGAAGTCCAGTTCAATTCTGATAAGAACTTTATTCACCCTGCTTACAATGTGCTCAATATCAGAGGGAATTCATTCAGGAGAGTTGGGTACTGGTCCAATCACTCAGGTCTATCCATTGTAGCTCCTGAGACACTTTATGGGAAGCCTGTGAATGGTTCTTTGAATTCCAATTCCAAGAGTGACGAGCAACTGTACAACATCATATGGCCTGGTGAAACCTCCGAGACACCAAGAGGTTGGGTTTTTCCTAACAAAGGGAAGCCACTGAGGATTGCCGTTCCTAATCGAAGGAGTTACTTAGCATTTGTGGCTAAGGACAAGAACCCTCCTGGGGTTAGAGGGTACTGCATTGATGTATTTGAAGCTGCCATCAACTTGTTGTCGTATCCTGTTCCTAGGACTTACATGTTGTATGGAGATGGGAAAAGGAATCCTTCCTACAATGACCTTGTCAATGCAGTTGCTCTTGAAGTAAGTATGAACTTGTATTTATAGTTTTCGCTCTTTGATCGTCTGTTTTTTTTTCTCTTTTTCTTAGAAATTGCTAAATGAAATGATGAGTATTACGTTCTCGAGTTATTGGGATGAATTTGATCTTGATGAAGTGTTCAAATGTTATAGTCAATAATAAGTATATATGTCCAAATCCTAGTGAAAAGTGGATTTCGAGAAATAAAATAGCAAAAATCTGTTATAAACACGAGTTAATGAGCCAAATTGACTTACTTGATGATTGTGGCTACCTCCATGCTTTCAGGAATATGATGCAGCAGTAGGGGACGTGACAATAGTGACGAACAGAACAAAGATAGTGGATTTCACGCAGCCATACATTAAGTCAGGGCTGGTGGTGGTGGTGCCAATGAAGCAAGCCAAATCCAGCCCCTGGCATTCATGAAGCCATTCACCATCCAGATGTGGTGTGTCACCGACGCTTTCTTCCTCTTGGTCGGATCTGTGGTCTGGATCATTGAGCACCGCATGAACCACGAATTACGCGGCCCTCCTAGCCAGCAGCTCATCACCATTTTCTAGTCAGTTCAGCTTGCTCTCCACATATGAAGTTCAAAAGTTCACTTCTGCAGTAACTGCGAGCCCTGATGTTTTCATTGGTGAACCCATTTTGCAGGTTTAGCTTCTCAACCATGTTCTTCTCACACAGTAAGTAAGGATAAATTCAAGCATAGTATCCTTGGTGAATCCACTAACCATTCCCTACAAGAACTGAATCTGCTATCCTTAATTTTTCCTGAAGGGGAGAACACGGTGAGCACATTAGGACGTTTGGTGTTGATCATATGGCTATTCGTCGTCCTAATCATCAATTACAGCTACACGGCCAGCCTGACGTCGATCCTAACCGTCCAACAACTGACCTCAAGAATTGAAGAAATCGACAGCTTGATTGCGAGCACCGAACCCATTGGAGTCCAGGACGGTTCGTTTGCGTGGAACTACTTGGTCGATGAGCTCAACATTGCAGCTTCCAGGCTCGTCACACTGAAAACCCAGGAAGATTACGCCACCGCCCTGACCAAGGGATCCAAAGCCGGTGGAGTGGCCGCCATCGTCGACGAGTTTCCTTACGTCGAGCTCTTCTTGTCGAGCTCAAATTGCCAGTTCAGCACCGTCGGGCAGGAGTTCACCAAGAGCCGCTGGGGATTTGTAAGTTCTTATCCCTTTGAATTGAAAATGTGGCATTTCAGTTTGCCCTAATTAAACATTTGCTCGTCTTCCGGCGACGTACGGCAGGCATTTCAGAGAGACTCCCCGCTAGCCGTCGACCTCTCGATGGCAATCCTCCAACTCTCCGAGAACGGCGACCTCCAGAAAATCCACAACAAATGGCTACTGCGCAGCGAGTGCACCGACTCTCTCAACCCGGTCGACGAGAACCGCCTCTCGCTCAGCAGCTTCTGGGGGCTCTTCTTGATCTGCGGCGTTTCCTGCCTCCTCGCCCTCCTCGTCTTCTCTGCCACGTCTACGCCCAGTACAGCAAATTCTCACCCCACGAAGGCGCCGACGGCGACAGCGAGACGGAGGACATTCATCCGGCGACGAGGGCGCCGCGGCGGTCGCTGAGGGCGACCAGCTTCAAGGACTTGATAGAGTTTGTAGATGGGAAGGAAACGGAGATTAAGGAGATACTTAAGCGGAAGCATAGCCATAATAGTCACGACAGCAAGAGGACGCATCATAGCGGCAGTCCTAGCGACGACACAGGCGGCGCCCACGCTTAGCTCTCCGGCTACGGCTTGATTAATTAACCATTTGCTTTTAATTTTTGTGTTAATACCTTATTTTGGCCCGAACTATAACGTATAATCAACTTTGGCCTGTGGTTTCAGAAATTAACATTCTGAACTATGCAGCATATAGACTCAATTAGCCCGACATATGATTTGACCATGAATTTGGACGGTCAACTCTGTTGACCATTAGTCAACATGTAATGTCATTTTCTCGTCAGCTTAAAATTTTTATTTAATTTATAAAATTTATCATTTTTCAAATTATCCAAAAAGTAAATGTTTAAATTTATTTTATGTTTTTTATAATTTATTTTTTCTTAATTTGATAATAAATAAGAAATCTACGTTACTAACGCGACCGTTACTACGGTTCTCACCTCTCCAAACTACATTCGAACGAGGGTGTTTGAGTTTTTGAGGAATCTACGTTACGACTACTCCTATGGAGATTCCTGTGGAGAGCTCCGCGACTATGCTACCACTATGACTATGGAGATCCTTCCTGGAAGAAGAGCTCCGCGAAGGAGTTACAGAGAAAAGGTAAAGTTTGAACAGAGTGTTTCCGTGTTGATTTGGTTTTTTTTCTCTCTCTCTCCTTGCTCCGCTGCTCTTATTCGAAAAACATCTTCGTAGCCTTCACGCTCCATGAAACCGCTTCCTCAACTCCTCTGTCGTGAACTCCCACGTTTCTCAACCGCCTCGATTTTGATTCTGCGTGAATCTCACGTGGAACAAAGCTACCATTACGATGTTGCTTTGGGATAACAGTGACGTTGGACTTAGCGGGCCATCCTTGGGCGAGCTCTTAACCACTGCGATATCGTTTTTTAATCAAACGATATCGCTTATGATATCGCGGTGTTGTTGATACCTCCCGCGGCGTCGTTTTTAACTAAACAACACCGTCATAAAGAATCATTAAAAATATTAATTAATTAAACCAGTCATCACTGTTGACCTGCAGTCAACTCGCATCCCTCGGCACAGTTTTTAGTTAAACAACATCGTTTTCTAGTCCCGAGATGTTGTTGAGCTTCACGATGCCGTTTACCTCTCAACAACATTGCTTGACTCCAAACAATGTCGTTTTTCTCCTTCTCCGGCAAGGAATAAAAATACTCCTTTCCCAACAGCAGCACCAACACGGCAAAGCCGAATGGATTCGTGACCCACGACTTACGACATTGTTTTTAACTAAACAATGTGGTTTCAAGTAGCGCGATGCCGTCGAGCTTCCTTGCAGTGTCGCTCGACTCCAAACGACATCGTTTTTCGTCATCGATATAAAATTAAATGCCGAAACTAATTAATGCGGCATTTAATTTAGTCCAAAAATATTTTAGGCGTAAACAATGCCCCCACAACTTAGTTTATAAAAATCAACTCTTATGAACTAAGTTGTTGACATAATCTAACACCTAAAATACTTACAATCGCTCCGAACACAGGCCAAACCCAAAAACTAAGTAGTTGGCCATGGGCAACGTCATTGCCATACTTTGCAAACATGATTTGTCCCACAATGATGAAACTCTGTGGAGTCTCGCAAGATAGAGGATTATTATTATTATTATTATTTTGTTATTGCCAATCATGTGTTGTTTGCCCAAAATAATCCGCAATGTTGCTACTAGAACGGCCACGCTTTTCCCATTCGTTTTCGCAACACACTAATCTTGTCCGGAATGGCCGCACCATTGCTTTGGTGGAACAACCCTGTTTTGATGGGGTTTTTTTTTAAGGCCAACTTGGAAAAATCCTAAATCAATGTTGCGTCCTACTGCAACACTGTTTTGATCAAGTGCAATGCTGGGGAAAAGTTCCTCCCCTTTTCATTCGGACAGATTTAGTCGTACCTCCAATCACCCCAAAACTCTGGCGTAATGTTTGTTTTTTTTTTTTTAAATCTCCTATACAACCTTGCAGCGGCCACAACGCTGCCTTAACCGAAACAGACTTGCTCTTGTAGTCTCCCACAACGTTGCCTAGGCCAAACAACAGTGTCTTGTACTCTTGTTATAATTATTATTTAATAAATAAAAATAATAAATCACACAACCGGACAATCTTAGTTGTTTTTGGTCGCAACACTGCGGCAAGTCTTGCAATGCTGATTGACCCGTAACAACGTTGCTTTTAAAAATAATATATATTTAAACAAAACCAACACTGTTGTGCAGCTCCTCCCGCAACATTATTTTAGCCAAAGCAGGAGCGTTTTGGTCCCAAGTAAATTCCTCTCTGCTGCTCCGCTAAACAACCAACCAACGTTGTCTTGGTCAAGTAAAACTTTCCTTTTAAATTGTTTATTTTTGGGCAATGTCTATTTTTTACCCAAACCTTTTCAGAATTCTTTTATTTTACCCAAACCTATCAAAATTCTATTTATTATCCAAACTTATTGTAACTTATCAAAGTCTGGGCATTCGTTCTGTTACCGTTACTTATTTCGTAACGGAACTCCACGTCAGCGTACACGTAAGCGTACACGTCTGAAATTAAGATTTTTAATATTATAAATTAAAAACAAATATATTTATCTGATTAATTGGGTGATTCTTACCCTCTCTTCGTTTGAAAACCCAGAAAGGGCTCGAAGCCTCGCAACCTCCATCGTCAGCCTTCAAAGCCTCGCAGTCGCCGTTCGAAGACTCGCCATCTGAAGAATCGCCGTCGCCGCTCGAAGACTCGCCGCCGCCGGTCGAGTCTTGTGCTGCCGTTCTCGGTTTCTTCCCTCCAACATCGTCTCACGCAAGGTAAGATGTTTCTCGGTCTCTTGTCTCTTGAGCAGTAGTGTCGAATCTCAATAGGATTGTTGATTGAGATGTTTATCTCGGTCTCTTCTCCTGTTTTGCGTAATAGAAGCAAGAATCATGTCTGCAAGGTCGAGCTCTGCAAGGAAGGGATGCGCAGGGGACGGATCTGCAAAGGAGGGCTCTTTTAGCTCCACCAACGCAAATAACGATTCAGTGCCTCGTTGTGACCACAAAGTTCCATGCATTGTTAACAAGTCTGGTACCTCTAGGAATCCCGGAAGGCAGTTTTATTGCTGCCCATATTGGAAGTTAATGTATTTTGGTTTGTTTTGTTGCTTGTTGACCTAAATTCGAAATAGGCATTGCCATTCCTAACTCTTGATTTTTTAGACTGAAGACTGCAGGTTCTTCATATGGGTGGATGTGTATGAAATGCAGATCAGGAATGGATCATGGGGTGACTTGTTAGCAAAACTTAGTGAATCTGAAGAAATGAATAGGAAGTTGTCAGAAGAGTTGCTTAGGACCAAAGAAGATCGAGCAAGGATGATATCGGAGATGAGCAGATTGAGCAATGTGATTTGTAGTCTAGATAGTAGGATAAGAAGCTTGATGGTCTGTGTAATTTGTGTCAT